TCGTTCAAGTTCGACAAACTTACTGACTTTGCCGGCGGCACCAACTTCATCCTTCTTGCGATCATCACGCTCTCGTGCAGCGAGAACCGCGGCGATGCGCGCAACATTGTGGTATCACTATTTATCATGCTATGGGCGGCAAGACTGAGCGGCTTTCTTCTTTTCAGGATTCTCAAGACTGGCAAAGATGATCGTTTCGACGATAAGAGGGACAAGTTCTGGTCGTTCCTCGGATTCTGGGTGTTGTGAGTAGCTACAGACGTACGCTGGGTGTCATTACTGATGGGTTACAGTCAAATGTTCTGGGTCTGGACTGTATCCATGCCGGTCACTATTCTGAACTCGCCCAATGTCACTCGATTCAATCAGCCAGACTTTGGAACAGGTTGTGATATCGCTGGCATCATCCTGTGGTCAATCGGTTTCATCATGGAAAGTGTTTCCGACGTCCAAAAGTACAGGTTCCGTACTGCACACGGTAGCGACGGCGCCGTCTGCGACGTCGGGTTCTTTGCCTGGACGCGCCACCCGAATTACTTCGGCGAGATGCTCATCCAATTCGGTAGGTGTTGCTCATTGAACTTCTTTGGATCGAAACTGATTATGACAGGTATCTTCACGATCGCTGTATCCCCGGCTGCAAACAACTACGTCTCGGGCGGTGCATATGACGCTCTGTACGCGTCTATTCTCGGTCCATTCTTCCTGACTCTGCTACTCATGTTCGTATCCGGCCTTACGCTGCAGGAACGACCTGGCGCAAAGAAGAGATACGAGAAAGGCAACCGATGGCCCGAGTACGAGCAATACCTCCACCGAACGAGCATTCTCATCCCTTTCCCGCCACAGCTATACGCCAAGCTTCCCGTCATTCTAAAAAGGACTATCTTCCTCGAGTTCCCAATCTATGTCTTTGATCCGGCCAAGCATGCAGACCAAGACAAAGTGCAAGCCAGAAACGCGGAGGAAGGTCAAACCAGGCCGAGTGATGAGCAAGGCCTTAGATCTTGAAGTATCAGATGTTCGATATGATGATACCCCTGTGTTGATTCTCAATTTTAGTATAAACAGCATTGTTAGAGCGCTTCGTACCGCATAATCGTAATTCAATATTCTCCCAAAAGGCATGCCCAAATCGAAACCAGCATTCGATTATGTGAAATCGTCATTGTGCCATCAAAACTTTACGTGCAGGGTAACAAGCCAAAAGGCGGTTTCTGTGTGTTCCATGCTAGATCTGTGTACCGATGTAGTCTGATGAACCACACGTCGCCTGCCCCTGCGTTAGGGGTGGCAAGAGCTCCAAGACTACCTACAGATCCCAGCAATCCTCGTGCAGCGCATCTCTCGCCAAAGCTTCCACCGACCTCCGAGCAAGCCGTGTCCATGTCGGCGATGACATGTGAGAATGCAATCACCAGGTCGAGCAGTGGGATACAGCCCGCTTAGTCAGTCGCTGGGCGAATCAATCCACCCGGCCTTATCGCGCGAACATTGAAGATCACCTCACGCCATCGCATAAACCACACCCACGGGACGATGAGAAGAGTCAAAACCATCGAAATTTGTACCTCATGCTCGCATCTTTTCTTGGCTCGTCGTCTTAGTTGGACGACTAGCAGCCATGAGCCTGCTGGCGCCTGTTTCCAACTCGGAAACTACTTCCATCCCGCGTCGCCAATCGATTAGAGCACCTGGAGATGCGATTGCGTCATTGCGTCACTCTGAGATGGCCTGCTTGTAGGACTGGACGAGCAAATATAAGAGCCTGAAAACGCGCTTCGCCCTGCCGTTCGACCAACCTAGCATATCCTACATCCTTGACACCAATTATTTGTCATCTCAACAAGACAACATTTGTTTTCACAATCATTGCGAAAGCTAAACCATCAGAATGACTACTACTCCAATTCACTCAACTGGCCGTGGAGGTACGCCATGCATGATACTTCAACATGCAACAACAGGAAAAGCTGATCGCTGACGCAGGCGCCGGCAACATTGGCCCCGACACCAACGTCTACACTGATGGAGGCATGGTTCGTGAGGGCGTTCAAGGCGACTCTCTCGATGGAGATTTTTCCACTGGCCGTGGGGGAGCTGGCAACATCGGAAAGTCGCCTCGCGTTGGGCCGCAGTCTGACGAAGGTCGTCGCTCAGTAGACATGGTACCTGAGATCAACCAGCGCAACCCGCAAGACGAGTTTCACACCGGCGTACGTCATGTTATTTGAGTAATATCAACCTCAACTGACAGTACTGTAGCGAGGTGGAGCTGGAAACGTATATAAAGAGAAGCATGGCGGCCACAGCCAGTCCCCCGACCGCAAGGGATTGGGCGAAAAGGTCAAGGAAGCGCTTCATCTGGATAAGAAGAAGGAACACGAGCCCTCTCCTTTGGCGCAAAACACGACTACAAACTAGATATGATACCCAAGTCAAGTGACTTTCCTGGAGGACTGGTAGTGGTATGAGCGTTGGACATCAATGATACCTCAGGCTATGGTCTCGACTATGAGACAGCCTCGTTTTCCTTTTAGTAATTAATAGACACAGACATTCTTTCAACCATGTCTCTAAGTTTTATATGACCTGCCTGGACTGATGTCTGTACTGTGCCTGACTATGATGGTGGGATGAACACTAGTGCGGACCACGTGGGGTAGTCGCGATCGCAAGTCGCGTCATTGGGCTCCAGAAAATCCACCAAACTTCACACCCCAACAACACCTTTGCGCAACATCACAATGAGTTCCAGCGAACATGATGCCGAGGCCCTCGTGCACTCCGATGACCCAAGTCACCCCGCGAACCACATCTGCACGCTCTGCGCAAAGTTTTACAGCTTGGGCTGGGTACGATGATCTCCAGGCGTCAGGGGGACGCGAATGAAGACACGGTCGAGTGATGGCTAACACGGAGATTCCGCCAGGTGACAGGCACTGGCGGAGGAACGAGCATACGCCATGAAGACAAGATATACATTGCGCCCAGCGGCGTACAGAAAGAGCTCATGAAGCCTACCGATATGTTTGTTATGGACTTCAACAGCAAGGAGTACTTGAGGAGACCACAGGTATATCGCGCGATGCTGGACCATGGGAAAATAACTAAGAAGCATCTAGGTCCTGAAACCCTCAGCGTGCACGCCTCTCTTCCTCGCAGCCTTCGAACGCGGCGCCGGCTGCTGCATCCACACACACTCGCAATGGGCCGTCCTCGTAACCCTCCTCGTCGAGCGCGATTTCGGGAAAGACGCGTGCTTTGAGATCGAAGAGATTGAACAGATTAAGGGCATACCGAAAGGAAGAGGGAAGCAGGGTAACCTAGGCTACTATGACCGTCTGCGTATACCCATCATCGAAAACACCGCGCACGAAGAGGATTTGAGGGAGAGCTTGGAGGAGGCGATGGAGAAATACCCCGATTCGTACGCGATTCTTGTCAAGAGACACGGCATTTACGTGTGGGGCGATAACGTCCACAAGGCGAAGACGCAGTGCGAGAGTATTGATTATATTCTGCAGTTAGCGGTGGAGATGAAGAAGCTGGGTCTTCCCTGGACAAAGTGAAGAGACAGCAAAACTCAGGCCTAATGCGTTGCGTACACGAGTGGGGTCAACATGAGGAGCCAAGAGAAGAGTGTGTGTATTGGAGAGAGAGTTCTTTGAGCTAGCCTTGAGCCGCCATATCCTCCCCAATCGTTTCGCTCTCGATTTTCTTCATCACCCAAGCGTGTACAGTGATCTCTTGGTTGTTTCCGTATGAAGCCATCGAGTTCTGCCCCCACAATCTGTACCGAGTCGCCCCTACTCACGGAACGCAACTTCGACTCCCTCTCTATGAAACGGCGGCCACGAAACTTGAGTATCAGAACTGCATTTCCCCTGAATCCCATTCGCATGACAAGAACACGCAATCACGATTTTATGTAAATTGGGAAATGTTGACAGTAGACCAGGAATTACCAGTCGTATGATCCATCGCAGATCCTCTTCCATGGAATCGTAGTACTTTAGAAACTCTTCCTTAAGATCGTGGGAGTATCGATAGGAGGCTTGAGACCTGTCAGCCTCCATGAGTTCTTTTTGAAACATCAGAAGAGCGCCAATGGTCCTCACGGAAATGGATCGTATCATCGCGAAGTGGGGATTTCGGATGCGATCTCGAAAACGCTTGAAGGCTTTGTAATCGTGGAAAGCAAAAGTATTCTCGTGGTAGAAGACCAGAGCAGCCTCGGAGTAGATTTGTCGGCAGGTGCGAGGGAGGCTAAGCTGCCCTAGATTGCTTTTGAAGAGTTGTGTCGATGTAGAGCCATATTTGCGATATTTCAATCGTTTGAGGTTGGGATACACGGTGATACCGCCAAGTGCGTAGTGCCATATCTTTGTGCGGAGTTCGGCTGGTAGTCGCAGGAGAGGAGAGTTCATACTGTTGTCTTGGGCACTGGATACTGTTAGAGAGACATGGGGATCGTTAAAGTCTTTACTTACATCGTCACAAGATGGTCGGGCGTTTGTGAAAGATCCAACAAGCCATCCTCTTTTGGCTCTTCGACAGGAATCTTCTTACTTGAGGCGCTTGCTTGATCACACTTCTTGTGGGTTTGAGAAACCATGGGTAGTCTTGCGCCTGTGGTACTTATCGTTCGATTGGAGTTACTTTAGTTGGGTTTGTGACCGAACGGCTCGGTGTATGTTCAAGGAATTGTTTCAGGTAGTGGAGAAAGTGTGGTAGGAAAGAATTCAATCTTTGAACAAGAATTGAAGCGACTAGGCGCGTGAACGAGCACAGACAGTGTCAAGTGCGACGATTATTCACTCCTATGCACTGACACATGCTTCTGCAGCTATGGCTGCCTTACTGCACGATGAATGGTCCACTCTATTAGAGACATCAGCTGACGTACTCAAGAAGCCCCCCTTGGTACTTCAGCTCGGCCCCTTTTGACTTGACCTCGATATATCCATTCTGTGTCTCTACTTGGAACTGCCGCCACCATGGACAATTCTACGCTCCCTGTGGAGGCCACTTTATCCGTCCCTGAAGCGCGCTACAACATGCGCAAGCGTCCTGCCAAACCGATCACGGAGTCTTCCAAGCGCGTCCATCGTACTCGCGGCGGTCTCGTCTCCTTGCGGAAAACACCAAAAGACCTCGTCTCCATGTAAGCCCTTCAGAAGCAGAAGACTTGAATACAGCTAATAGCATCCCAAGCGTCAATTCCAACACGCAAAACTCTCCCCTTCTCCGTCTTCCCGCCGAACTTCGAAACAAGATCTTCAGGTATGCTTTGGGAGGCGGCCGGTATATACACCGTGGGTAAGAGATATTACTGTACGATGTGAGACATTCACTGACTTCATACACCAATGTTTAGGCAAGGAGGCACCCGCGAATGGCGCCACCTCAACAGCGATAACGACGTCTTCCGGTCAACACCTGCCAACATCGCCCTACCGCGCGTCTGTCGTCAAATTTACTCCGAAACAGCTACCCTAGTATACTCCGAGAACTTGTTTTCCTTTAACAACGTCTTTGAACTCGATCGCTTTGTCGCTTCACGCAAACATGCTCAGCTCGAAGCCATGACGATGATTATGGTTGATATAAGTTGGGGCGCGTTTCAGAGTGGAAGCGAGGCTCTGAAGATGGTGCTTAGGAGCCTGGGTAGATGCAAGGGGTTGAAGAAACTGTATATGGGAGAGCTTAGGGGTCTATGGAGCACCAAGAAGGAGTTTGCTCGTGTGAAAGAAGCGGAAGCTGCAGTTGCAAAAGGCCAGGCAGGTGATATTGAGGTTATATTTGTGTCGCCATACACATTGGAACCTCTGCCGTGGTCATAGCACTGGTCGGAGAGACAGGTCAATCATCTTGGCTGCGTTCGGTGAGGTGAGCTTACCTCGCGCATTCCGATAGACTAGTGTGTTATGTCAATTCTTCCAAGGTTGGGATTGCAAATTGCTTGTGACTATCATGTATCCGTGCACACCTAGCCCCTCATTAGCCTATTAATATTCCAGTCTTCTGGCGTCTACCTTCATCGAGAACACCTTACCATACCTTGATCAGCAATCAATACATGCAATAGACTCAACCAACCAAATCAAACCAACGGAGTTTTCATGGAGTTTTCAGGAGAACTTCAGGACATAAACCGCCTGAGTACTTCACCTGCTGAGCGCATACGTCGGTGAGTTCAAGAGTTCGCACATCCGCTACAACTTACTTACAGTCTGACAGAACCCAAGAGAACCAGGCAGACTCCCCTCTCCTCCGTCTTCCACCTGAGCTTCGTAATATCATCTACGAGTATGTGTTACGTATGAATCATCCGATAGAGATGATAAGAACAGCGATGAGGGACCGAGCCGGCCCCAAGCGACATCTTCTCGCCCTCCTTGGAAGCTGCTCGCAGATCAACACAGAGACCGCTATGCTGCCCTACACTCTCAACGTCTTTGCTATGACGGGTTTTAGTTCCAATACATGGAAGCTACTTCATCATACCGGCCAGAAGCAACTACAGGCTATTAAGAGGATGCAACTTAGGACAGCTGTGGGGAGTATAGTCATGGGACTAGAGGACGATATGGCCTCTTTAAGGGGCTTAGAAATGATTGAGATACGGGACAGCCATGGCCGGTGGAACGAGGATCTCATCCGACGGATAAATATGCGTTCGCCAGGCGTTGTTATTTGTAAGATCGAGGCGTTTCCTTAAAACCACTGAGAGGTCTTCTGGCGAAGAGACCCTCAGGCTCGAGCGCGAAAGACAGAGAAGAGGACCTCGGGAGGTAGGGGAAACTGCCTAGGGAAGTTAGACATCGAGTATTTGTGCTACCTACCTATGTAGGTACTCTTAATGCCTGAGTAACTAGGTAGGCCGAGTAACGATGCAGTCAAGAGACACATAACTTGATATATGGCTTGTTGAATCGAATGAGATTCAAACAGACTTCTAAATATGCGATAGATATGAGGATGAACCTGCACGATATCGCGGCGCGAATGACTTTCGCGACAGCCCCTGTTAGCTACGCATTGCGTCATCAATCCCGGCACGCGCTAACCAAAGTTAGCATTCCTGCGCGGATGTCGCCCATGCCTCGTACAATTACCTACGAAGCCAGAGAACATGCCTCACTGACCGCAAATGCGTATCTTTCCCGAGCTACTATAATGCACATGGTTCGAGAAGTGTGAGTCAAAGTTTCATAGCTTCCGAGGTCTACAGAAGACCGGCTCGCAGTTACCACGCCTGCTACTGACTCACCATTCTTGCGCCTCTGTGTCTTCTCAACAGATTATGTTGGTTCAACCTGTAATCTACCCGGTGAGTCTTGTTGGTCATTTAATGGCCGGACGCAGTCCTGCAGGCGAGTCACCACTACTGCGTTCCTGGTTCTCCCAGCCAGCGCGAACCGCTAGTGGATATGCTGAGTGTAATCATCCACAGAATTGCAAAAGCGAAAGAGTCATCTCCAACTACATAAGATTCCTTAACCCGCACCATTACAATCATCACTCATGCCTTGTATGCTATCTGCATCCTCGGATATGTCGACAAGCAACTTTGCCCACTCCGGTAAATATCCTTCGATGGCTGCCGCCGAGTCGGCGAATACCTACTCCACGCAGTTACAGTCTCCATTATACCGTCTACCTCGAGAACTCCGTGACGACGTCTACGAATACTATGCAGATGGCAGGCGATCGTACAAGTACAACAAGGAAACGAATCAGTTGCGCTATCAAGATGCAGCTGCGCGTGCAGAAAACCTCGGTCTAGTAGCGACTTGTAAAATCGCCGCCGAAGAGATGAAACAAGTCGCTTTCCAGAAGGTCGAGTTTAGTACACGATGCTCTGCGTACGACATTTCGGAATTCATGGGGTTGCGTTCAAGAGTTGCTCGACTTCATATCTGTAAGTCTTGGATCGTGCTACTATGAAAAGACTGCGCTGATTAGATTTCGCTGTTTAGTGACGACTCTTGTTCAAACACAGCGACAACGTATGTTGGCCTGTGTAACCGAATTGCTACAAGCTTCCGACTTCATCGACATTGAAGCGCGTTATCCAAACATGGGACTATATTTTGGTGACTTGCTACCGCGAGCCATTGCTGAGCAACGCGATAAGTTCGGAGTTTGGATGGGGTCGATACGCGTGAATCACGTCGTCCATCAAGCATGTATCGACGCGCTACTGTTCGCCCTACATCGTGCTCATTCTCGTAGCACGGAAAGGTTCGCACAGCTCACAAGCAGAGTTTTCGGCAAAGGAAGGTGTCCTGTCGGGTTATATGGGGATCAAAACAACATTTTCAACAAAGGCTCGTTGGTATACCTGCTTTCGTGGAGGCCAGACCCATGGTTGATACCCCAAGACGAAGATCTGTCGCGTATGGAAAATCTTCTCTGCAAGCAAAGCGACCCTAGGCCACCTCGTGCTATCGACTCTCAGCTCTGTCACCGTTCTATGGAAAATATCAGGTGCTACTTCTCTGCTGCAGCTGTAGCCATCGACTACTGTACGTAGCCGTTTCTTTCTTCTTGCTACAGTCCAACTGCGCATCAATGCTCTCACCAGGCAGTTTGAGTCGATTACAGCATTCGGATCGCATCTGAGCACAGCCATGAGACCTTTTGCTAATCTGACTTGTAGTACATAGCCTATCACCAAAGCAATGGCTTAACCTCCGCAAGATCATCCTATATGAGGATCGTAAGTCTCTGCTTCGTCCCGCGTGTCATGCACGTGGACTCATAGGCTTCTGTAAGAGCAATCCGGCTTTACGCATCGAACACAACATCGGACTATTGAGCAACCTGCTCCCGGAGTCAACAGAGCTGAGAAATACCGACCGATTTATACTTGGATCCACTTGCCTGGGAGTAACCGTTCCATGGATAGAGGAAGCTCTTGCGTTGGCTGCCAGTGGCATAACTACCAATGCCTACCGGCTCATAATCGACGGCAGTACAACAGAGGCAGTCCGAGCTTTCAGGCTCTTAAAGCATGCCGCGGCAATGCAAGAAGCCATGCTCACTCAAGCAGAGCGTAACAATGTGCAGCCTACATCATGGGTCCGTTCGGGTTACGCCGAAGTCATCTCACTACCATGGCACTTACCCGCAGGTTTTCCGGACGTAATCCGCGCAATCATGACTGGCACGTCGAACATACAGTTTACAGGCCCCGTAGGCGACCTGTGGGACTCAGATCTCATGTTCCTTGAGAGTCAAGACTGGACCATCGCAGATTGGCGGAACGAATGGAAGGAAAAGATTGTACTGTGCGGACCGGAGACTACCTTCTATAAGGATATAGAGATGTGGTACGAGCTCTAGTCGTACGAGCCGGACAAGAGCCCTACCCAATATCGAGGTTTACAACACCGAACGTGCCAGCAGACGACGAATATTCGCTGCCTATCATAGGCCTTGTTTTCACTCGTATACATAATTCACAAATTGGAAGCATATGTTAGCTCTTCTTGCGCCGCTGAAATTGATCAGCATTTTACACTCAGTTTACAGCCTCGCCACCTCCCTCCCCTCCAACAACCCCTCAATAGTCTCCCTCCACACCTCCGCCGCCTCAGCACTAATAGAATTGAGATCATAGCTAACGCCGAACCCCACAATGCCCTCCGCACTAGTCGAGCTGCCCACCAAAAACTCATCCTCTCTCGCTCTAACCCCAATCTTCACATCCCGGAAGTCCGCCGCAAAGTCTTTGTCCCCCAAATTCTGAACGTCGTACGTCCCGCGCTTGAAGAACGCGGCCAGAGGTCCAATGGAAGAGACACCGCATGTCGCTCCGAAGCCTGCTGTGCTAGGTGCTAGAGAGCCTTGTGGATTTTGGAAGGAAGGTGAGCGACGCGACGGTGGGAGTTTCGCTTCGACGCGTTCGATTTGCGCGACGTAGCCTGTTGCGAGGAGGCGGCCTGGTGAGCCTTTATCTAGTATACCTGCTGTACCTGTCTTTCCTTTTCCTTTGAGACGTTTCTGGTAGACGCGCAACTCACGGTTCGCATGCTTCGCTACGAGCCTGAAGCGTCCTTCTACAGGTAGGTCGGAGGATAAGAAGGGCATTACTATGCCTTCGCTAAAGGCTAGCATGCATGAGTCAGGCGGTGGTGGATTTACGAAAAAGGCGCGGGGGTTTAGCGGGAACGAGGCTGTGAATGGTGGGTGGTTGGTTGATGGAGAACGCTTTTCGTGGATGGCCATCATTGCTAGGCCGGCGAGAGCGAAACACCCGGCTCCTATACTGACGTTTGCGGAGCGGCATAGGGATATCAGACGTGCTGAGGCGGCGGGCGAAAGGGATGCGGATACATGACCGCATGACATCGGTGGACGAGTCGAAGGGCTGTAGTCGAATATCTTGTTGAACTTGGGTTCCAGTGGTGTTGACTCCTCTAACCTCTTCTCTCTCCGCAGCGGATTCGTAAAGGTGGGTGGTAGTCCTCCTTTCTTCACGTGTCTCAGCACTCTGATCAGCGCCCAGAACCAGCGCTGTCTCGCTTTGTTGCCTGCGATTGGTGGGTACAGATCTTCTTGGGCGGCTGGCAAGACTGTTTTGATCTTTTCTGGTATACGGAGGGACTCGATGTCTGCTAGGATATCCTGGGATGGTTGGTTGAAGATGCGAGTGAAATGACTGAACCAGCTGTACGCCGAGAGACCATCGGATATTTGATGCGCAATTACGATGAGGAAGCGTAGCTCATATGTTCCGTCTGGAAGTTGTCGCAAAGGTAGGACATGGAACTTTGATAGACACTTTGTGGGTTCAATGATGCGAGTTACGTTGTAGGCGTGGTGGTACAACTCTTTTTCATCGACTTTATCATACGCTTCTTCAATCCAAACGATACTTTTCTCGACTTCTTGAATGGCAGAATCTTGAGAACTGGGTACATTGACGGCAAAGGCTCGTCTTCCTGTTTCTTGATCATCGACCACTCTGGACAGGAGTAAAGGGTGCTGAAGGCGAAGAGAAGTCCAGGCAAGCGCTATCTTGCGCCTCAGCTCTGATTTCGAGAGCTTGTGTTGGACGGCTAATGTGAAAAGGGCCGTCATGTCTGTTGCACAGTCAGTCGTGTTTCAACCACGCTCGATGAGACGATTAAACTTCTCTTTGGGCCATTGAGAAATGTGTATAAGATAACCTGAGAGATCCTACATACCTGCCCGGCCACCATAATACGCGCCATCCGAGTCAAAAGAAGTCTCCACTAGCCCGAGAGGACGCTCGAACAGCTGGGTGCCATCTACATCTTCTGAAAGCTTCCACTCGGCATAGTTTGATGCGTATTTGTCCAACCAGTGGCTCTGCTCTTGCTTTTGTGGTGTCATGACACTTTTTTGGCATGCAATTCCAGGAAGATGAAGGTCATGCAAATTCTTTCGCCACTTCTTGGTGAGAGCAATTGGAAGCCCGAGCGTATGTCAACAATGAAGAGAGTGTATCAAAAGGATAATATATGTACAGATTGAAAAGCGATAGAGTTAGAAGGCGGAGTCGGAATGACCGTTAGATTGTGAGATGAGCGGGTCGGCCAGGTCCGCTCGAGTCATGGACGTTAGTCGCTAAGATGCCGTCATTGCCACGACGATCAGTTGATTGGACCTCACACTCTGATCGCATACGCTGTTGTACGTTGACATGCTGCAACACATTAATACTGTTCATTCTCGAGGGAGCATGCAGTATAATAAACCTGAAAATGATGAAGCTCCTTTCTATGGCGCCGTGTATGTTCCCTCACGGACTGGGTATCGCCAACGCAACAATTTGATCAACCACCCCATCCCACCACAGACTTCTAGACTACATCCTCCATCTCGTCCTCGCCCTCTGAGTCGCCATCACCCGGACCCTCTGGCGCAGCTGCCTCTGCTTGCTTACTAGTATCGCGTTGGTTGTCGAAGACGGCCTGCCGCTTCCAGTTGCTCGCAAAGGGCCCAGACTTGACAAGCAGCGCAATGTCGCCAAGCACCTCCTTGAGATACTGCTCTGGTTGTTTTGTGCGCTGTTTGATAGCCTTCATCGGCCAGTACTGGTATTCGTCGAACAGCTGGTGCAGTACGTCGATGAGGTCGGAACGAGCCATACGAGCCGCCTTGTTCTGCTGTGACTTGGCTTTGGTCGTGGGCTTGATGAAGTTCTTGAAGCGGTTGTTGAGGGTGATGGAGTTGTTGACGTCAGAGACTTCGGTGTCTTTCGTGATGATGGTGGTGGTGTAGGAGCCTTGAATGGCTTGCTTGATGCGCGCGGCGCTGAAGTCCTTGAACTCTTTGGTTTCGAGAGGATTCGCGTTATACTGCCGTGTCGCGTGGCCGACGAGGGCAGTCTGTTTGGGGATCGCCTTCTTGTACTTGCTCCGTTTTTGGACGCGCGCATTCGGATCTTGTACACCACCACCATAGCCTCCGTGGCCTCTCCCATAGCCGAAGCCTTGTCCCTTGAACCCTGGAAGATCCTTCTCTGTAAAGATGTATGTGTTACCCAGTTGCGCTTCGGAAGCGGCTGCAGGATCGAGCTGGAAGGCGGAGGGTAAGTTGGACTTTGCGCGCCAACGATCGTCGAGGAAGACGCGCATAGGCTTGTCCTTGTCGATGCCGCTCGTCGTAGCGAATGCGAGGACTTCGCCGATCTGTATCTGATCGTTGTCGTTGCCGTCGGCGACGTTTTCCCACTTAGACACTGCCTCGTAGAGCCAGTCTGGAATACGCGTGAGCCAGACATCCTGTTGAGGATTGTCCTTATTGATGCTCATCTCGCCGGTGTCCTCGTAGAAGTCATCGTCCATGAAACCTATGTCGCCTTCCGCCTTGATTCCAGCTTCTGTCTTGATGCCGTTCATGGTAGCGAGTGTGTGTGTGTTGTTGCCTGGGGTGAGTTGGTAGTGATGATGAAAGATCGACTGACTGGGGCGCGCTCTTCCCCGACGCGCTTCCGCACTAGCGTGCCAAGCGCTTATCGATAATGCAGCTCTGGAGAGGTCGCGCTTGCCCCACGTCTGCTGCCTATCAACAACCAACAGGTACGACCGAATCTCGTTTGCAGCTACAGAGTGATCCCTTTGTCCTCGCCATTCATTCTCGTATATCCACTCGGGTCGAGCCCTAAACGTCTTCTCAACCAACCCAGCTCATCCAAACCCCTCGCAATGGCTTCACAAGCTGTCACCTCGGCTTTACAGCAGATTGAGGCGGCACCGGCCAGCGAAAAGCCCTCTCAGTACACTGCTCTCCTCCAGCAGATCATAGAATCATCCACCAATGTCGCCGCCGATCTGAACGCATACGCACAAACTCTCCTCGATGACTCGCTCGGCATAGTCGTTCTGCGGCCACTCCTCGCTGCTTTCGTAGATGCGTTCCGCACGGTCAAGGAACCCGACGCCAGGATTGAAGTTGGAGAGAAGGTCATCACACTATTACAGTCCAAGGGCGCGGGCCAGTATGAGGAGCAGGACACTCAGATCAAGCATGCTCTGGCGGATGCGTTCGAACAGAACGATGACTTCAGACGGTCAGCGCAGACGCTCGCGACCATAAACCTTGAGTCAACACAAAAGTCTGTCTCCGCGGATGACAAGGCCCAGGTCTGGATCCGGATAGTGCGGTGTTACCTGGAGGAAGACGATCCAACAAGCGCCTTCACACATCTGAACAAGATCAAGAACATCATCTTCAACGTACAAGACAAGGCTACCAAGGTCATGTTCCAATTGAGTCAAGCCCGCATTCTCGACTCGCAACGGTCCTTCCTTGATGCTGCCCAGGGATACTACACTTTGAGTAACGAGCCAGTTGTGGACGCTGAAGAGCGCGACAACTTTCTTGGGAAAGCAATTATCTGTGCAGTCCTCGCTCCTGCTGGTCCGCAACGAGGTAAGATGTTGGCCAAGCTGTACAAGGACGACCGAGCCAGTTCCGCCGACGACTACGCCATTCTCGAGAAGATCTTCCTGAACCGTCTCCTCACACCTGCCGAGATCAACGCCTTCTCCGCCAAGCTCGAACCCCACCATCTCGCCCGGGCCGCTGATGGCTTGACTGTGCTTGACAAGGCTATCTTGGAACACAACTTGCTTGGCGCATCGAAGCTCTACAACAACATCGGATTTGATCAGCTGGGTGAACTACTGGGCATTGACGCTGAGAAGGCCGAGGACTACGCGGCAAAGATGTTGGAGCAAGGCCGACTTGCCGGTTACATCGACCAGATCGACCGATACGTTTTCTTCGAGGGCGAGGCCAGTGGTGAGCGTAAGACAGGGCACGCAGAGCGCGTTGTCGGCAAAGAGCTACGGAAGTGGGATGCCAACGTC